CCCGCCGCCCCAACAAAGAACAACTGGCGGCCCTCCCTCAGAGGGCATCTGGCAAGTGGGCGGTCCAACTTGTGCGGGCGTTAGAACTAGAACTTCAGCGGCTGTAGCTTGCTCCTCGCTCGCTGGGTGTGCGCCGTGGCGAGGAGTGGGATGTCTCTAGCTTGGGGGCTGAAGTACTTGCACAAGGGAGGACGACCATGTACTACTCGAGCGCGGGGCTTTCTTTGAGAGTAGCCTTCGCTTGAGGTGCCCGGGATGCGACCCAAAGGGCGTCCTAAAGAGCGCTGGCTCGATACGCTGCATACAAACCCAAAAAGCTGAAATCCACCCAAATAGACACTCAATCGGGAAAAAGTGGCGTCATCATATTACAAGGCCGGACCCCGCCCCGCGTGGGATAAACGCTGAAGAACGGGAAAGACGCTTTTTCTACAAGCCAAAATTTAGGTGGACGTTTTGCCATTCGATTTCGTTTTCAAACTCAATATTCACGACTTGCAATCGCGAAATGTGCCTGTGGGCATCAAAATTGGGTACTGTACATGGGTGAAATTTCGGAGTGTAATGCTCACTATGAAAAAGAATACTGCAAAATACGAAACCAGTGAATGAGTGCATATCAAGCACGTCGAAAAGTGTACACGTGCATATTACAGCAAGAATTGGCGAAAATAAAGATCAAACAAACCATCGTATATGTTTACAAAAGAAGAAATTGATAAACAAACTCAACAACAATTTGACAAATGTGAATCTACGAGTGGTGTTCCCGTGAAAAGAAGGTAACCCACAGCTTCACCGGCGACGATGCTCAGGATGAGATTTCCATTGAATGTCATCACAATCAGCATGAGTACGTATGCAAGAAGAGCTTGAACGCCATATAGGGCAGCTTGAGCCAAACGAAAACCCGAAAACACTCGTTTCGTTAGGCTGAAATAAGCTGTATTATGAATACCACAAAGAAACACAACAATTTTCACAAAGATTCACAATTACCCTGTTACTTGAAGAATCGGACCGAATGGTATGGTATCTTGAGATACATTATCGCCTCCAGAGTCCGCCAATGGTGACTGTGAACTGGACATTGCGGAAGCTGTATGACGTTGCTGAAGACTATCTATACCAAAGATTTCGAGCTGAGTTATAGGAGTGCCAAAACTAGCGTCAAACACCCTACAGTAATACCAAAATTTCAGACTGAATCAACTCTATCAGTGAGTTATGTTTAGGTTGAGTATAGTCGAGTTTACGGTAGAGATATGCTACCGTGAAGAATCGTTAGATCACACTGAATTTAGTGCTTTAGTGATTTTCGCGATCAAAGTCAATCATGTGGTAGAGCTCCACACCGAAAGTCCCTCTCTGGCAATATGCTGCTCATAGCTAATAGACATCACTAGTGAATACTGTAAGGCTCGCTTTTGCGGCAGAAAGGATATACTGAAGGCTTACGAGAAAGAGAAGCCACTGCGGAGGTAACCCAGAGCTTTAGACGGGACGACTTCCAAAAAGGAGGTCGAATTTAAAGGCCACCGTCCAGAATGTTCCAGAGAACTACAGTCTAATTCGCTCGTGGACGACAGTTGCGTGCGAGTTTGAGGCGGTGCCAAACCCGTTCAGCACCATTGACCAAGTGACAAGACTGTTTCATATCGTTTGTACCACTTGTCTTTCTACCTATTGTTGTCGCGTACCCTCATCAACAGCTATCGGAGAGCGGGTTTGGCGCCGTGGCACTCTTATACTGCCTGATACGCCCTTCATCCGCAGCGAACTTGAGCATATTGCTGCAGACAACGCGCACTAAACAGTGAAGTGACAAAACGGAGCGAAAGCAGCCCTGACGACCCTAGCTCCTTCAGTGACCAGATACGACCCCCAGTGGGGTTCTCCAACGATGACGTACGCTGGCTTCATAGCTGCAAAACAACGCAGAAGAGAAGGCACACTTGGGAAGACTCTTGTCTGTGACGAAAACTGATGTAAACCTGTTCGTAAGGCGAGTATCATTATAACGAATTGGTTTACCCTTCCGCTTCTGTTACTTGCATTGCAAAAGAAGACATACGAGGTACACAGCGAAAATGAAACGGGAAAATCGGGGAAAGTTCACAAACGGAATAATTTTAGGAGGCAAGTACGACGCACTCTTCAGTGACTGAGTTCCACCCCCCTCTACTAAAGAGGTTCTCCCAAGATCTCTGCCATAGCATCAATTCAAGTCTACTCCATGAAACCGTCAAATCCTAGGATAATCTCAGCCTCCGAGCAAAAACATAACATTTTAGGAAATACATTAGTCTAGCTGCCCTTGAAGATGTGTAACGCGTGATGATGACTCAATGTAAAACGACCATGACTTTGTGGTCAGGGACGGAGCAAAACTACCTTCACAGAACAAGACTACCACGCATTAAGGCAAGTTTTCAGATATGTATTGATCTGAGAGGTTTTTAGTTCTGACGTCGCGCTTGCAAATGACAATATTTCTACGCAGTAGATGACATCAATAGAGAATGTATACCGAAAATAGCCAGAAATATATACGAAGTCACAGTCATAGTGAAATTTGGTATTCCAGTAGACAGGCTAATGCAAATAAGAAAACGCCGCGCCCATTGCCGCGTGTGACTGAGCCGGCAAATTATGGTTGTCTTGACCGTCTCCCGCAACGGGGTATGCAAAGTAGACCACAGAAAGGTTGGTGGGTGAGAGCAAATAGCCTGGGGAATAGTAACACCGGCTGGATCAGACCGGGAAAGAACTAACCTTAACGTGGTAGATGGCTAGGAAGCAGACGAAATCCTTTGATCGCTTCATACAAAATACATAGAAGAAATGAGATGAACATAGATACAGCCATCCCTAAACGAGACCATCATTTTACCTACGGTAAGAACAAAAATGGTGGGTTTAGCTGGACAACAAGTCCAGGTAGGAACTTGAGTCTGAAGCTAAACTTATGGATTACATGGCTAATGCAGAATAAACTGACCAGAAACTGTTCCAGTCTTCCAGAACGAAAACAGAATTATTTCTCTTTCACGGAAATGTATCACCATGTCCATCATACCAGTCATATTGCTATCCATACTGAAAAGCGACATCTCCGACATCTCTACAACATACAAAAAATCTATAAAAATCGTTGACGGTTTTTTTTTTGCCAATAAGGGTGCTAAGTGGGAAACTTCATTGATATTGGCCTGACGCTTTCGACACGATGTAATTAGTATTTAAAAGCACGCCCCGAATTCATCTGATGTTCAGGCGTGTTGAAGTGGCTTACGTCAAGCTCGAAAATACGCTGACTGGGGAAGCGCACTCCCCACCTGACGCGGAGTCACGGCTCCGCCCTCTGGCCACGCTGACGCCCAGTTTCGATCTCTGACTGCTGCTGTAGTTGCGGTTGTTCCTCTATCAACTCTTTCCATTCGAGTGATGAGGGACAAGAGAGGAGAGAAGGAGCTGATCCCAACAAGTGAGGAGTCGATCGACCACGACTTTCTTCTCCTTGTGCACTACAAGCGCCGTTCCGCATGGGGCTATATGGGGTGCTTCGGGCGGGATTTTAGTGTTTTTTTTCACTTTGTGACATTTTCCATCCTACCACCAGTATTTGAAGACATACAAGTCACCATTTTTTTTACTGCGGGACGCGCCTTTACCTTTACTAAGTCTTACTGATTACAAATAACACAGAGTGACGCCGTTCCACTCATGTGGGGTTGAACTGCCTCCAAAGATAACGCTTTGAGATGATAGGTCAGTGCCAAGAACTCCTTCTGACAATCTTGGCATAACAGAACGAAAACTGCCGAAGTTTCCATCAATGAATAAGTTTTACGAGAGGAGGAGTTGGGCCCACTACATAAAACAGGTACTTGGCATCGATTGTTAACAAGGGGGGTGACAAAATGGTTCCGAAATGAAGTAGTGCGGCCATAACAAGAACCAGTTTTGCATCGACCTTGTTCCCATTACTATTCTTCGAAAAATGATAACAATGTCGCTGTTTGCAAAAAGACCAAAAAGAGATTCAGGAAAGCTCACTGAAAATTGATTCGAATGGTAAAGTTACTGCTGTACTGTGCTCAACCACGACAACACGAGGAGAAGAAAGCATTTTTACTTCAGAATCGAAATACTCAAACCCTTACATTCCTCCTTCGTCTCCTTTGTTCTATCCTACCATTCTACCAAGCTCTCTCTCTCCCTTCCAAGCGTTACAGGTCACGGTCAGGGTCGCAATTCGAGGCCATATATTACTCCGCGTATATCGAACGGAAAACTTGCGTACGCGGCTAGCATTGCCAAAGTAAAAAAAAAAACAGTATCCAGACAATTTACACGAAAGGGGCCAAAAAAACCTCAAAAAGACTAGCGCGCTTCACAAATTAGGGCTCGGAAATGGTTCATGGTTCGAGATAAGGCCGTGAAATAAGGGGTACAGGACGTGGGCTGCCATACAACTAATCTGACGCCAAAGAGATTCGAGTCAACTAATTAGGCCGCATTCATACCTGAAAACTTTGAAGAGATGACGAAGCTGCGGACAGAACAAGGTATATGATCGATTTGAAAAAGTCGCGGAATTGGGAGAAATGCAGAAATATGGACTTTGCAGAAATGCCGAAATGACGAGCAACGCTTGATAGGATTGATTCGCATGGCCCACCAGCGGGAAAAATGCAGAAATTTCGGCATTTCTGTAGGTTGGACACTTCTGCATTTCTCCCACTTCCGCGGTGTTTCGAATCGATATATATGCTTTCCTTCTTCTATATGCCTTTTTCTGTGGATACTGCATTTCTCCCAATTCCGCAGGTCTGCAAATTCGCACCTGCAATTCCACGGTACTGCATTACTGCATCATGTATGAATGCGGCCTTAGGAATCCTCGTTTAGGCGGGATGCCCTGCAACTCGTACATATGTTCATGAACATTTACCAAGGTCGCTTACTATGAGCTTACCCCGGGGTTGGAGACGGTCTTTAGGACCGCGCGACGTCGCGTGCGCAGCAATCTGCAAACTGCAGTGAAGCTTACGCTCGCGTCGTCATTATGTTGCTTTGAAATGAGGTTGCGCTCTTTCAGTTTCAGCCATTCTCATTCACTCTGGTGGAGACCTTTGGATTGTCAAATTTTGACTTGCGTGTTTTGTATTTTTGCATCGTGGTTACATACATAAGATTGAAGAGTGTCTTGCCTACGCGGCGAGGTTACGACACAGCAATTATAATGCACGAAAACCTGCACAGGTTTTGCTCTGCGAGTCAAAAGGATAAAGTCTTCGCCGTTGATCAATCCCTTTGTGGGATGCGGCACGCATTCTACTTCCATTCAGAATCGTAGTGGCTTATTGAATGCGATGTGGCCTATACAATGACTTGCGGTGGCCAGCCGATGTACAAGTCAGTGTTTTATCCTCCCAGACGAATCTGGTACCAATTTACCGTCCCCGGAGGTAGAAGGCTTGGTTGGCCTGGGCGGGAGTCGACCCGGGATTTGAACCCGGCGCCGCGCGAGTGGTAAGCGCGCCACTTGCCACACACCACCTTTCGCCATCGCGAGTTAATTTAGCTTATTAATTGATAATGTTAATTTAGCTTACAATTAGATTTAGCCTAATCATTTGACAGTCACAATGCTTTTTGGAAAGATACTCTCAGAGACTGTTGTTACTGTGGTATTGCTGAGGTACGACGGTCATCCTGTTGAAAAAAAAAATATCTCACCATCAGCGATATGTTACTGTCGCGATAACAAAACACAAGCGCGCGGAAACCTGCTAAATCATAACGTTTTTCGCGCGCGAGCGTGCGTAGCGTCCCGCCAGGCACCCGTACCCGGTCTCCCCGCCACTCCCCAGTTACCTTAGCTGCCGTTCATAGTTTGCGTCAGCCGCCAGCAATATGCGAAACTATGGCGTATGAATCATAGATACTCCAGCCTACGCCAGCGAACGATACCGTACAGCAACGTTTCGAGCGAATAGAAAAGGTATAGATATCGATCTAACGTACGCCTAGATCGACACCTATAATCTGCTGGTCGCTGGCGCTGGCGTACGCTCGAAATACTGCCGTACGCTGTCGTGCGCTGACCAAAGTATAAAACGCAGCCTCAAGCACTGCGCAGACGACCAAAGTCGCCGTGGAGCTGCTAAAAAAGACGTCGCAACAGTGCTTGGGCCCAACCTGGCTTTACTCAGAACGAGAATGTTTAGAAGATCCTGGAAAGTTTTGTATGTATCCTCAGGAGTACTGAAAAAAGGACTGTAATCTGCTACGAAATGGGCATGATCGAACAGATGCGCTATGGTATCATCCGAATAGGGAGGATGTTTATATAGAGGGAGTGACACCAAATAAACAATGAGATCGCGAATAGTTTTTGCTTCTTGTGCCTATCAGACTCGAAAACGTCCAGAATGGGAAGCAGGCCAGATTGTGAGCAGTGGAAGCCAGAAAACAGACGGTACGTGGGAACGTGGACGCCAAGCAGTTTCTACCCCACGTCTGCTTTCCTACCGTTATCGTGAAATCATTTATATTGCTCTCTGTTTCTCTTTTAAATTGACTAAGATGTCACACGTTTGTCGAACGTATGAGTCTTGAAAACGATCTGTACGTCCACCTCCGAAGATGATCCTGAAGTGAATGATATCCGCAGCTTCAGTAGTATGCCATTTTATCAGCTCAGAAGTGCCCTAGAACGAGGGTGAAGGGTAGTGACCACATATGAAACCACACTTAACCAATCGGCTATCCGTGCCAGTAGTAGTGATGCAGGGTGCCGTCTTCATTCGAACCGCGCTATCTCGGTATGCAGCGCTTTCCTCGATGCCCTTACCCTAACAGCGAACAAGTAGTCAGAGGTGAAGAACAAATAGAAGCGAGAGGGCGCAGACAAGTCGCGCGTTTTTGTGTGGTAGCCATGTAGTTGGACGTACGGCAGAGTGGGCAGAGTATGGTCACGGCACTCAGGTATCACGAATCTCCAGCCAGGTCGTGCCTTTTGACCGAAGAAGGTGGCACGGTATTGCAGCTGGGGCCCATTCAGCTCACACATCACAAGGACCAGGATCCTCGGAGACGAGTATACAGTTTGTCTTCAAATCTCGCTCATGACCAGGATGCTAGTTGTTGATTGCTTGTGGATTGGCTTACACTTCCGAGAACGAATATGAATCCAGTTATGGAGATAAAACACTGTTACCATACCAGATACTCGGCGGTTGTCAGAGGGTGGCAGTATTCGTGCACAGCGTCAAGATTCCAGACCGAAAGGTCCCGCGATGTGAGCTCCTGCAATAGATTCCGGTTTCCTGTAGTAAACCCATAAAAACAAACGCGGAACTATAGCACACGAAAAAATGAATCATGGAAATTGTAACCACATCGTAGTTTAATTATGTACCTAGAACAGACCAGTCGATTCGCTTGTTTGTTCTATGGCGGGTGATCTTCCCTACACACCATTTGTGCATCCAATGCCAGAGTCCAGGAGAGAATACCACTATGAATCACTTGGCAATAGCTCCTGTTTATATGAACTGCTTTTTTCGTAATCGTTTACGTAAGAAAATGGGGAAATGGTGTCAGGAGATCTGAGTTGCGGCGAGGCGCTGGAATCAAGTTACCGTGCGCGCAGTGACGTA